TCCTGCATACGTCAAACTTCTTAAGCCATAATGTGAGCGTGAGTCCGTCTCCCCCCCCAAGATAGTTCCTCCAATTACCCTTTGATCTGCTGGGAGTGGAGATGCACTCACGCTCACATTATGGCTTAAGAAGTTTGACGTATGCAGGAGAATGTTGCTCCGTCTGTGGAGAAGGTTAAACACTCACAGAGAAGTTCTTGTCCATCCTCAGTGTATTACACACGGATCATTATTATTATTATTGGGTTTTTATTAACTCAATTGGATTTTGGAAATACCGTTTGCAGCACAAACACTTTTTCTTTCACATAATCAGCAGCTTATTTCTTTGTCCTTGTTTTTCTTCAGTTTCTATTCACTTTCGGAGTTTAACAGAAACTCATTTACTTTAAACTGCGGTGATTAGCGTCTTCTTACAGCATAACGGATTATGAATGCAGGAGGGACATAAAATATATTTAAAAACAATCTGATGCTATTAAACAGTTCAGATGTTTTTGGTCAACAAGATGTGCTGGAGAAGACGTTTCTGTTTCACCGTACTTCTTCACACCGTCTCATCTGTGAATCCAGACTTCAGAGGTCTGTTAGGGACAACCTACAAAACTCTCTAGATCAATCATTGTATGGCTCCTGCAGACTTGTGCACTTATACACAGAAACATATCGACACGTATGTGGAAAATATATATTGGGTATCAAAGTTACAAACCCACACATGAATCCTCTCGGGTATCGGTCCAGTTTAACAGTTTTATTACTACAATCACCACCTCACGGTTGTATGTCTTCACCGACCAGTCAAGTTGCAGTTAACATCCATGTCCGTCCATAAATGCCATCACTTTATCATTTTATCCTTTTTACACATTTGTGTGAAACTGTCATAATTTGCATATTAATTCTTGAGTTTAAAACCTTGAGTCCAAGTTATGAGACATCCTGTTAACGAGGACGAAACACACACTGTATATAAGAAGTGGACGTAGTCATCGTGACGTCCCCCATTGGTTTGTGGACTGCTGTTTTGAAGCCTCGATTTTGACAATTTGGCCGTCACCATCTTGTTTTTTTTGCATCCAATGAACGGAAGTTACCATATTTGTAATGTTGAGTGACGTAGTGACGGCCTGATACAGCTCTGGTGGTGGCAGCGACCTGTCAAACACAAGGTAGCCCCGCCCTAAAGCATCCCCTGCTTTATGGTCTGTTTGACTCTAAATGGACCATAATTTACTAAATGATTGAGACCATACACTCATGTTTACAATGTTTACTGAGGTAATAAATCAAGAGAGAAGTAGAGTCATTTTCTCATAGACTTCTATACAACCAGAGGAGTCGCCCCCTGGTGGACACTAGAGAGAATGCACGTTTTAAGACACTTCTGCATTGGTTTCACCGAGGTTTCCACCTGGTATGGACCAACATGATCTCATGGGAAGGCATAAAAGGCAGGTCAGGTGTATAAAGTGAGATGAGAAACAGTTGCTGTGTCCTTGACATGTATAGCTGGAATGTGTTGACTCCAGGTGTTACAAAGGCCACCTCATCTGGCCGGCAGCGATAGATGCTGCGTCGTGCCCACACACACAGTCACAAGAACACAAAGGTACTGTTGCACAAACCTCGCAGAGCACAGCGGAGAGCAGGCAAGCACATGAATCTGCAGATGTGACACACACACACACATACACACACACACAATGTGGGTTAGTTTTTTGTCGAATTTGAGGTGGAGGCCTACAGCATGAAAACACAGGAAAACCTCAGGGAACCAGAAACACCTTCAACCTGCTGCTCCTGCTTTACTCTGAACCATTCTCCTCTCCACACACACACACACACACACACACACACACACACACACACACACACTTTCCAAGGCCCTTTTCCTCCCAGAGAGAGCGAGAGGACGTCTAAGAGTGTCACTAAGAGAGGGAGTGAAAGAAGGACTTCATGATTTACATGCTACTGTAGTTTTGGAACAAAATATGCAACTCACTCTCAGCCCATGAACAGCCGAATGTACTTCATGCATGGATGGATTACTGAGTCGACCAGGCTCAGGCTCAGGGGCCCAAAGTGCCCCCCCTTCTGTGGCCTTTAACTACAGAATGACACCAAAAGAGACACATGCCAAACAGTAAGAGATTTAAAACGACCACAGAGGCAAAAAATGACTACAAAGGAAAACAAAATGACTACAAAGACACACACACACACACACACACACACACACACAACAGTGACAACAAAAGAGACAACTATAAAGCGACTCAAAGACACACAAATTGACCACAAAAAGATACAAAATGACCACAAAAACACAAAACAGCTAGAAAAACAGACTCAAAATGACCACAAAGAGACAAAATTGACTCTCAATGCACTCAAAGGTAATCTTCTCTCAGGGCTCTCTGTCAGCGCTCCACCGACGGTCAGCCGTCTAAGTCTCACCAGGTGGATCGTGTAGATTATTTACGCCAGCCAAATTTGGGCTGGCATCTCCACCACCTTCACCTCCCAAAATAGAAATTCAGGGGATGAAAGTCATTCCATTTATCATCTCAGCAGAGACGCTGCTAGCCAGAGGTTTCCAAACTCTGAGGTGGGAGATGGAAGGTGAAGATACTGTGTGAGGGTGAAAGAGACGCAGTATGCAGGAAGTTAGTTTTTGGAGTTTGGCTGCTCATTTGACCGCTCACCGACACGGTCAGCAGTTGGAGCTGCAGCGGTGACACAAAAGGAGAAACATTGTGTTTCATGCACTGGCCAATTTTTTTAAAAATATATTTTGGTCTATTTTGCTTCTACAACATCTAGTGGAAAAAATACACATTTCTGTGTTTCTTTTCCTACTTTGGTCCTTTTGCGATTTCTCCTCAATTCAAATTTAAAAATTATTTTCCACGAACTTGTAATACAAAAAGTGATTGCCTTATTGTAAGTGATCAACTTACAGTCTATGATTTGAACACAGACATGAAACGCATATTGATGTCATTCCATGTGACCAACACGCCCGCTCATATCATTATCTCTGACGTCCATCCGGAAGAAACGTCCACGAATTAATCGTTAAAAAGACGCCGCAGATCTTGCGTGAGAATCGTCGTGTTTTTAAGTTTTCTTCTGCATCAAAGTTGTTCAGTGATAGTTGTGCAC